CAACTGCATGCATACACGGGTTTCGAACTGCATGCATACTCGGGTCTCGGACTGCATGTATACTCGGGCTCCGACTGCATGCATACACGGGTCTCCGACTGCATGCATACACGGGTCTCCGACTGCATGCATACTCGGGTCTCGAACTGCATACATACTCGGGCTCCAACTGCATGTATATTGGGGTCTCCGACTGCATGCATACACGGGTCTCCGACTGCATGTATTCTCGGGTCTTCAACTGCATGTATACTCGGGCTCCGACTGCATGCATACACGGGTCTCCGACTGCATGCATACACGGGTCTCCGACTGCATGCATACTCGGGTCTCGAACTGCATACATACTCGGGCTCCAACTGCATGTATATTGGGGTCTCCGACTGCATGCATACACGGGTCTCCGACTGCATGTATTCTCGGGTTTCCGACTGCATGCATACTCGGGTCTCAAACTGCATGTATACTCGGGTTTCCAACTGCATGCATACTCGTGTCTCCAACTTCATGTATACTCGGGCTCCAACTGCATACATACTCTGGTCTCCACCTGCATACATACTTGGGTTTCCAACTGCATGTATACTCGGGTTTCCAACTGCATGCATAATCGTGTCTCCAACTGCATGCATAATCGTGTCTCCAACTGCATGCATACTCGGGTTTCCAACTGCATACATACTCGGGCTCCAACTGCATACATACTCGGGTCTCGAACTGCATGTATATTGGGGTCTCCAACTGCATACATTCTCGGGTCTCCACCTGCATACATACTCGGGTCTCGAACTGCATGTATATTGGGGTCTCCAACTGCATACATTCTCGGGTCTCCACCTGCATACATACTTGGGTTTCCAACTGCATGTATACTCGGGTTTCCAACTGCATGCATAATCGTGTCTCCAACTGCATGCATAATCGTGTCTCCAACTGCATGCATACTCGGGTTTCCAACTGCATACATACTCGGGCTCCAACTGCATACATACTTGGGTTTCCAACTGCATGTATACTCGTGTCTCCAACTGCATACATTCTCGGGTCTCCACCTGCATACATACTTGGGTTTCCAACTGCATGTATACTCGGGTTTCCAACTGCATGCATAATCGTGTCTCCAACTGCATGCATAATCGTGTCTCCAACTGCATGCATACTCGGGTTTCCAACTGCATGCATACTCGGATCTGCAACTGTTTTGAGAAGGTATTGCAGGTGTGGTTAACACTGCATCAGGTTTAAGGTGATTGTAACCGTCCCATACACAATTATCCACGCTGTCTTAATGTTTGTAATAGTTTTAAACTGATGCCCTGAGCTCTAACCTCGGATACATTGACCAACAATGTGAGGCCAATACTTCGTTACACAGTTGTATAAAATACAAAAGAGGCGAAATTTCACTCTCACTGATTCAATAATATATATTATGTTTTTCTTTGATATCCGTGAAACTATTGCTGAAAAAATGTTTAAAGCGGCTGTTTTGATAAGGATCCCTCGTGTTTCATCACTAACATAATATACATAATTCCTTTACCTGTTGTGATAAGGATCCCTCGTGTTTCATCACTAACATAATATACATAATTCCTTTACCTGTTGTGACCAGGATTACTCGTGTTTCATCACTAACATAATATACATAATTCCTTTCCCTGTTGTGATCAGGATTACTCGTGTTTCATCACTAACATAATATACATAATTCCTTTCCTGGTTGTGATCAGGATCACTCGTGTTTCATCACTAACATAATATACATGATTCCTTTCCCTGTTGTGAACAGGATCACTCGTGTTTCATCACTAACATAATATACATGATTCCTTTACCTGTTGTGATCAGGATCACTCGTGCTTCATCACTAACATAATATACATGATTCATTTACCTGTAGTAATGATGATCACTCGTGTTTCATCGCTAACATAATATACATTATTCCGTTACATGTTGTGATCATGATCACTCGTGTTTCATCACTAACATAATATACATAATTCCTTTACCTGTTGTGATCAGGATCACTCGTGTTTCATCACCTACATAATGTACATGATTCCTTTACCTGTTGTGATCATGATCACTCGTGTTTCATCACCTACATAATTTACATAATTCCTTTACCTGTTGTGATCAGGATCACTCGTGTTTCATCACCAACATGATATACATAATTCCTTTACCTGTTGTGATCAGGATCACTCGTGTTTCATCACTAACATAATATACATAATTCCTTTACCTGTTGTGATAAGGATCACTCCTTATAGTCCGAGTGAATAGTTGTGGTATCTGACGAGCGAAAGCTCGTCAGATACCTCAACCATTCATGAGTTTCATACAATTGGTTTTACACGGGAGCAAGTTTAGTATTTTATTTATTACTTGCCATTTATAACGTTTTTAGAATTATACTGTAACATGAATAGGCTGACACCTACACGATCCACGGCATAATCCAACTGAGTTTAACAGAATAATGCTTCAAACACGTGAAAAGTTGAAACGTATGAATTTAATACCATACAACGGTCCAACTTTAGAATTCACAAAAATTTTGTAGGGCTAAGACTATCGCAACTCACATACTTTAACTTAGACTAACGACTGTCGTTGCGCTACAATACGATCGCCTTGTGGAACGGGCCTTGCACTTCAAAGTTTACAATAGCGTCACAATACCCGATGACGTAATTTGTGGAATTGTGTTGCAAGATTCATCGGCGAAATAATGCCATGTGACGTCAGCCTAGCAACAAAGTTGCTGGAATCATCGAGTGTGCATAAGCTTTTCTCAGTGATCTATCAACTCCACACGCAGTGTCGTTGAATAAGCCAAGGGATGTTGAGAGCTTTCAATATTTGTTCGTGAAACGTGTTCCGAGAGTACATAAGCACGCGTTTTGGTATTACACAATATGTAATAGAGCTGTATGTTTATTAAACGGGTGATCTCTTCACAGGCAAGTAATAAACATGATTCCTTTACCTGGTGTGATCAGCATCACACGTGTTTCATCACCAACATAATATACATGATTCCTTTACCTGGTGTGATCAGCATCGCTCGTGTTTCATCACTAACATAATATACATAATCCTTCCCCTGTTGTGATCAGCATCACTCTTGTTTCATCACTAACATAATATACATGATTCCTTTACCTGTTGTGATAAGGATCCCTCGTGTTTCATCACTAACATAATATACATAATTCCTTTACCTGTTGTGACCAGGATCACTCGTGTTTCATCACTAACATAATATACATAATTCCTTTACCTGGTGTGATCAGCATCACTCGTGTTTCATCACTAACATAATATACATAATTCCTTTACCTGGTGTATTCACTCACACTCGTGTTGCAGGTGTGGGATGATAACATAACAGAATATGCAGCCAAGTGAGCATCTTGGACCATGACGATTATGAGGCAAGATCCCTTCCAAGTAAGTGTTGAACATATGTCTGCAGCCTATGATCACTCGAGGGCATCAGTGTGTGTGTTCCTAATCTGGATGGTCGGATTCAGTGAGGGTGGTCGGTCTGTTCCTGGCCCTTGATCAGTCAGCAACATGCCATGAGGGTTGCGTCCTTGAGGCGTAACAGACACCTATGATCGTGGGATAAATACCGGTATACCTCACTCACTCACTCACTCACTCACTCACTCACTCACTCACTCACTGACTCACTCACTCACCCACCCACCCACCCACCCACCCACCCTCACTCACTCACTCGCTCGCTCACTCACTCACTCACTCACTCACTCACTCACTCACTCACTCACTCACTCACACTCACTCACTCACTCACTCACTCACAAGTAAAACATCCGTGCACGGGCTGCACTATAAACCGTTACATAAGAACATTCGTATTCGAGCGCATGTTCTATTAGGAACTGTAAAATATGGACAACAGTAAAATATTCGTACACGGGCTGTAGTAGAAACCGTTATGTACGGACCGTACTAAAACATCGTTTACGGGCTGTAGTATAAACAGTAACTGTTATATACCGATAACAGTACACCCCCACCCTCCCTAAACATCCATCCATCCATCCATCCTATACTGTACTGGACAGTTTGAAAAAGGCTGCAACCGAAATCCTACCAGTTTCCAACGCTATTCTGGATTCAGGAAAGGAGACAGGCGTCTTTCTAAACACTCCACAGTGACAATATATTTTGAACATTTAGAAACACCCGTGAGTGCACGAATATTAACTCTAGCGCCCATTAATTAGTATTGCCATTTATTAGCCCAATTGTAAGTTTTGATTGTAAACCTAAAACTGTGCGTTTAAATAGAATTGAATGATTATCCGTTAACCTCGTGTGACTCTTTACTGACAACTTTAATTCTGTACCCACTGATTCCGAGTTTGAAAAAGGAAATCACCTCGTAACAAAGGCTGAAAACCACTCCGTGTAACTCGCAATACCTTATAAGGATAGCTGATAATATTCATTGATGCATGTACACATGACACATAATAAATAAATTATCTTTATTAAAATTATAAAAATCTTCTGAACACCTTCAAAAGTACAGAAACGGATAATTTTGTCCCAAAACGAAGTTATGTAAACACTCAATTTTATGAAAAGGATATACACCATGCATTTCATTTTTCATTCATTCAAATAACAATAAAGTACAGATAACTAAAACAACATCACTGTTATCGAATGATACCTAATTTCAACATACTCTATTAATCACCTTCGCCATACACCCCACGTGTTATTGTTATGTTAAGCGTTAAGCACTGAGCACTCTTATCGCGATATGTACCCAGTAATCTCAGTCACGCCCCTTGTGGCCACCCCTTTGACTAAACCCAATGACGCTCACGGTACGATAACAACAACCAATCAACGTACGGCTCTGCCTTGAAGGAAAGGAACTGATTACACCGCCAGCCAATCAGCAGCCCCATTTCATTCAGGGTAGGGCCAACTCTTTACGGGTCGCGAAGTATTAGCTCTTAATGGCGACTCGGGTTTGATAGGGCTTAATTACTGGAGATTGTCGGAGTTTGTCCACTGTGTATGAGTTTGTATCCCAAGAAAGTGCTTCACATATAGCGATTTCATAGCCTGGCGTTATTCAGTCACGAAGGAGGTCTGAGCCGCCTGTTTTTCAAACAGAGGAGAAAAACTTGTCGAGTTTTCCTCACACGATGCAGAACTCTCCCTTTGAAGGTAACGGGTATCAGACAGGACTATACGGATCATCGCCCGGGTATGATGCGGGTACCATTAAGCTGCATCATGGACACTATCCCGAGACGGAGTCGTGTTATGGAAATTACATGAACACCCCCAACACGTCGCCAAACTTTCTTCCCCGAGAGCCTCCTACATATGCAGAATCGACTTTCTTTCATTCCGGATTCGTGCCAAATTCCAGTCCGTCTTATTACAAAGTCCCGAGCCGTCAGGTGGATTTGAATGGGTATGACATACAGAGAAATGACCAGGTGTTGATAAAACCCGAACTCCCGATCGGAAATGGATTGGACTTCGTTCAAAGGTATGACGTGGAGGAGCCGAAGGTTCTCCACGAGATGGACAATACGGTCACAAAGCTAGAACACGATCCTGATCAATATAAAACAAGCTACCAGAGTCTCACCGCGGAACAACATGATGGACAGACAGAAGAACGACTTACACAGATGAATAAAGAGGAGCTAGTTGAAGACAAGAAGGAAGAAGTGACGGTGGAGGCAACAGAAAAGAACGACGAAGAAACGGGTAAAAATAACCCCGATGTGAAACCAACGCTGTCCTATATTGCACTCATAGCTAAGTCAATCCTAGAATCACCTCAGAAAAGACTGAATCTTGGTTCCATATATTCCTGGATTGAGAAGAACTACCCGTATTACCAAAACAAAGGTCAAGGTTGGAGGAACAGTGTCCGCCACAATCTGTCCCTCAACGACTGTTTCATCAAGGCAGGGAGGTGCGAGGATGGCAAGGGCAACTACTGGGCCATCCACCCTGCCAATATACAAGACTTCATGCGGGGGGACTTCAGGCAGAGGAGGAGGTCCAGAAGAAGAGGGAGGAAGAAGGAGGGAGAGTTTGGGATGTACCCCATGACTAACGGTTACCTGGGTACCCCACCCGCCACCTTGAACCCAGGGATGGGTTTCAACCACCCTGCAACCATCCAGTCCATATACTCGCCCTACACAGAAGCTGAGAGACGCGCGTACAAACTAGACGAGGCATTGTTGAGGCAGAGCATGAACAATCCCTTTATGAGATGGTACCACAATGGTAACTACGGAGGGACGAACGGGACATCTTGCAATAGCGGCATGTATGGAACGGGATCTGGGCAGTGGCAGGGCTACACTGACAACACTTCACAGTCCATGTACCAGTCTTTCTCAAGGTACGTATGTTTGTTAAACAACCACACAGGTACCCTACCCCATGTAGCATGTATAGTATAACGGTAATACCTGCGGGGCCTCATGTTCGGATATGAAATAAAATATTTTTAAAATGTAACAAAAAAATACAATTGGTAGCGACAAGTCCAGGAGCATATATTTGCTGATGTAACTAGCAGACATAATTACTTAACATTCATAGTCATCAATCTTCAGCAATGTTAAACTTTCGTTGGAACTTGAGAAGCCAATTGTGTATTTTGTGTTCATTTTAAGATGAAAAAAACGAAATAATTTAAACTGATGCAGAAACATGAATAATAAAATAAAATAAAATAAAAATAATAATGTTTACATTGGAAAAATGTTTATTAATAATAAATACAATATCATCATCCACGTTTGTTTTAATTATATTTATGCCGGATAAATACTGAAATACCATAGACTTTGTCATTTACCTCGTTGTACATTACATTGTCACATACAAAGATGTGTTCCACACGACGGTGCCCGACCTTCATGCTGGTATTTATATGCACAATGACAAAGGTAGAATTACCGTTAAGTGTGAAAGGAATGCTTCACGTTGATATTGTTTTGTCTCTGTGTATGGTGGCATTCACACTCATCGACACGACCTGAATACACAACTCAGACATTGCTAGTAGGCATGCTGCAAGTACTAGTTTCAGTAAATATAAAATTGAAATAATAAGAATATCATACTGAAAATGAAGTATTATTTCTAAATTCAACTGAGGAAACATTATCATATCCTAAGACACATATCAACAAAGCTAGGGTTATTACTGTTCATTATAAAATAGGGTGAAATTTGTGGTTTTTGAAGTTTTATTCAAACCAATTTTATGTGCTTCTTAAACTAATAGAAATAAAGTACAGTTACGAATGGGACCGAAATGAAACTAATATCAACAAACGAACCAAAGAGAATGATTTCATTCTACTCTCAATTGTTTTAACCGAAATGCTCTATGACCATAAACATAATTATTACTGGAATGCTTACATTTGCATGGTCATTTTAAACGATCATAAGTTCTATATTTCCCTTAGTGTGGTGAAACCATTGCATAATAGTCTCGAATATGACAACATAAAAATGCACCAGAGCGATGGGACGTCACAGCTTCGTAATTAAGTAATTAGGAGTATAAAGCGTCTTCACCTGATTCACATTGACTTAGGTAACAAATACAGCAATCAAGTTTATTCTCCAACGGTGGTACATGACTATATACGTAAACCTTTTATACAAAATATACATCAAGAGCGCAGATATAAGCAAACGGTTCTCTTTAATGTTTTCAATTTTACTCAACAGTTGTAAAAAGATGTGGCCAATTCTTGAGTCCATAACGTTACATAAATTGAATAATTTACACAATAAACAGATTTGGCCAAATGATATATTTATTTCAAAATCCTCGGCGTATGGCGGTAATAAGGTACCTTCACAGAAACATTAGACAATAGTGTGAAGGTGTTGTGGTTATAATTACTGTTTGTAGTATAATATATATTTACAACTACCAATAGATGCGTTTTTAAGCACAAAGCAATATTAAAGGTTTAATTTCGGCGTTGTTTAGCATTATTGATTATATTATCTGTATTTTAGTCAGCTTTGTAGTTATACTGCCTGGTTTATATGCTCTATTCACTAAACCAACCATTATGTTGTGTATAAATTGCTGTATTATTCAAACTATATTTTAACATATTCCTGCTGTGTCCCTCTGCAGAAAATCTGCAATGACATTGTTTACCCAATGGTTGATAGTGTGAAAATGTCTTCTAGTCGCATCTGAACTATTATATAACAAGAAAGTCAGGTTTGATTAGTGATGTCAACTGCCATGTTATGTCGGAGTTCTCGTGTAATAATACCAACTTCATTCAACAAAGTGCGCTTGCGAAATCTTCCATCGTCGTGGACAATATTGATGACAATATAATTACAATGTGTCATTTCGTTTTGAAAAAAAACAATGACGAAGCACAGAGCCTTTTGTTATGTTTAGCACAAAAAGAACATAGCAATACACCATATATATTTCTTGTAGCATGTCAGGTATTTAACAATTTCATTTTTCTCAACTTACACTGTGTGTCATGAATACACTCTCCCGAGCTTAATATTGTTGGTGTGACGAACATGATGTGTTGTACGGTGGGGTGGTTCAACTGAAAGCGTAAGTTACTTTTAGTAATTGCACAAACATAGTCTTAAGGATAATATTACCTAAACACGCGGAATCTCCATAAACGGTTACGGCTCGTCACGCCGGAATGTGAAACTCACTCAAGACAATACCATGCAGTATTGAAATGTAAATTAAATATCATTTGAAAACATTATTATGATTTCTAATTGCATAAAAATAAATGAACAACACACATCGTCATATACGACTATTTAAGAAATATTGTATAACGATAATAACGATATAATACTAATTTCACTAACATCGGAACCGGAGTTTCACTTTTCCACTAACGACATGCTACTATCCCGCAGCCTCATTCCAGTATTAACTAAACGTGCTGCTGATACTGTATTGATTAAAGACAAACATAACCTCTCTGTTCGGGCATGTTGGACATGAAGCAGTGTAACAGCGATTTAATAGTATTAATTGCCGTGTTAAATTAATAGTGTGCATTATCCAATTATGTTTGTAGCTAAAATGTTTCAATTCTTCTCAGACAATTTGATCACTCCCCCACGCGTTGACATGTATAACCTCCTCTGTAGGGCAAGCTTCCTGTATTCTTGAACACATGTTGAACAGTGTGTCTCGCTTGTCGCTCTTTCTCCATACTATCGTTGTAGGCATGATTTGGGCACATTGGGAAACAGACATTTGGGTTATAGCATTTTCTCATTAAAGGCGACTTGAACTATCCCTACAGTCCTAGTTCATAATAATAATCAAATATTTAACAGACCATGACTTGTTGTTATGAGGGCCGTTTGGGATGTAGGCAGTAGGCATACTATAGTGTGTGGTGATTTCATTCCGCAGATGGGGCGTGTTCAATCTGATATATCGTGTCTGAAGTTGTGGTTTTAGATATGTAGTAAAATGACAATTCGATACAGGATGGAAGAAAAAACCGGAAAAGAGACATATTTGTTACCGATGCATGTTCCACGTGCTATGCTTTCTAAACCTAAAACGGGATATAATTACCTGCTGTAATACGTGACTGAAGCCCACACGGTTTGAAGGTATTAGTTATAAATCAACACAAACTGCATTAGTATACAAGCTGTTTGTTTGCCGTGGTTATAACAGTGTACAAGCTGTTAGTCTGTCGTGGTTATAAAAGTGCACAAGCTGAACGTCCCCCGTGAAAATATTACGTTTGTTTTTTGCAATAAAAAATCCTTTGAGCACACGATATCAAATCCTTATAGTATGTACAAGTGTTAATATACTCAGGATAAGTGTATTTTCATGTAGCATGTTTATCTCATCTAGTGACTTGACAAAGTTGATATTTTAGTGTCGCAGGCACGAGTGAAAATTTCAACTTCGTCGTGTTTATTATACCACATGCTTTCTTACAGATCTTCCTGATCTTACCCTAATCTTACGCTGATCTTACTGTGAACTTACTCTGATCTTACTGTGAACTTATTCTGATCTTACTGTGAACTTATTCTGATCTTACTCCATTGTGTCACTGAAGCAGATTGAAAGTAGTTCCGACAAAAACTGTACACTGAATTCTATATTTTCATCACGCAGTCCGACAAAAACTGTACACTGAATTCTATATTTTCATCACGCAGTCCGACAAAAACTGTACCCTGAATTCTATATTTTCATCACGCAGTCCGACAAAAACTGTACACTGAATTCTATATTTACATCACGCAGTCCGACAAAAACTGTACACTGAATTCTATATTTACATCACGCAGTCCGACAAAAACTGTACACTGAATTCTATATTTTCATCACGCAGTCGGAAAATAGGAATTAGCCGCTCTCAAACTTTCCCATCTGTCTTCATTGTTGCATGTGATAAAATATATTTTATACGCCACCGCTAGTCCCATATGAACACAAATAGTTTGTATTATTGTATACTTAGAATATATTTCTTTTACAGATTAACTTTATTCCTGTATGTCATAATTTTTCTGTAAATTATTTTAGAAATAGTCTCTCCTGAGTCAGAAAAAAAGTCTCATTACAATTTTAAAACACCATGTTTAGCATGATGATTTATCAGTTGTAATGGTGATAGTTTAATAAACTATCTGTCTGTGTGTGATGGTTGGATACGAACTATTATATAATATCTCAACAACACTCCATCTCTGGATCTCGATTTCATATATTCATATATTCATTGATGTCATGTTTGTCATTTGGTTAGAAATGATTTCATGACATCTTAGATGTTGAAGAGAAATTAGTATACGTATTAAAATCAAACATTCTATTGTGGCCAGTGTGAATATTACATGTGTACATATATTGCAACTGTAGTCGTATCAGAACCATGCACCTTTCTGCATCACATGGAATCCTGATTTGAAACACATCACTTAGCACATCTCACATCACACCCATATCCTCTTTTTTATGATCATCTTTTCATTTATATTTTTTTACAAATCATTGTATGGCATGATGACCAATATTTATAGAATCTGTCTAAACTCCCACTCATAAGTGCTTTACATTTGGATATGAAGTAATACTGCTTCAGTTCATTCTGGAAGATCTGGAATGATGGAATATGCTTTGTGTCATTACGTGAGAAAAAAAGACGTTTTTGCACATGTCGTTTGGTGATATTTGCTCTGATTTGGGCGCTGGGTTTTGGCCAAAGTTCAAGTGATGTCCAGATCGTTTTTACTTTGCTGCAATCCCGAAACAAATGTTCAGTGGTGTCTATGTCACAAAGGCTCCATGTATTGCTGTCAACGTATCCTATTATTAATAAAATATTA